GACGATGTCCCAATATGTAGTACGAACTTCGGGGCGAGGGAAAGGAGACGAAGCGTTTGCTATTGGAGGGTGAACGTTGAACCGTGAAAGCAACCGAGGACGCGAACCCCAGATTTCGAAGACATTTCTTCTTGTCTATAGAACTTCAACCCGGGATTAATGACTGACCAAGACGGTGACTTGTTTCCCCCAGACGTCCGCTACGGTGTTCACTGCCTCTCGTGTAAGTTTGAGTCCACAAGTGAAGCAAGTTCCTACGTTCTCATTCGCCTCCGCTCGCGATCCCATTGAGAAGACTGGCAGAGAGTCAGGCCGAGGGGAAAGAGCCCGTAGTCGTGTTAATAGAGGAGAAAGTACCTGTTTTGAAGCAATGGGCCCGAGGAAATGTTCAACTAGGGTCCGTTATAAGTAGGTGGAACGTAAACCTTAAAGGTACACCTTCGTTGATGACGGCCGCCCTGTACCTTGATAGTTGATGACGCTGTATCAATCAATTGTGAATTTGATGATGATATCCCAGGATCTGAAACGCAGCTAAGATAAGGGCATAGCACCAAATTTTAATCCTAGAGAAATCATGGATAATTCACTCGACTGATATGAAGCCTGGAATGAGACTGCGCTTGGACATCATGGCTAGCGAGGATGACTGACAGAAACTAGAACGTTGATTCCGTCGACTTTCTCGTATTCGACGCTGCGCCGATGATTAGAAACCTCGCGGAAGATAAGACAAAATTAGAGGCACCTTCATGGAAGCATGACTCCTTTAAATAGTAACACGAACCGCTACTTGTTGGTACAACCATGTGGCTTCTTCGACAGGTCACCGTTCTCTGGAGCTTAAATATAGTTCGTGAAAGCTTGGACAAAGCTCAACGCTCCATTCGTAGTCATAGCTGCTGGGAAATAATCAAATCTCGTAGCCAGTATTGTGCGTGGGCTTCGAAGCAGAAGACGAGCACCCATGACCCACCTCAGGGGCCACCTGAGTCTGCGGTACTACTGGCAGGTGACTAACTCGCGAAATTGTTCTCGGTATACTTCGACGAGTCGGTGCCGACCTGGTAACTTTAATATGCGCTCGGTAAGGGAATCCCGACTTGATTTGCTGTGGTTAAAAGTGGGGATCTAAATCCTATCTGTTATCCACCCATTTTCAACGGTGTTCGCAGACCCAAAACAGCTACTTACCAGGAGTGCATAGGCTGTTTCTCCTATAGTTCGACATCCCAAGCTGCGCGACTACAGTCTCTCCTCCGGGGTCGAGCTAGTTGCTAGTAAACAATTGAATCGGAAAACGTTGCTGGTCGGGAAGTCGTCCCGGGCCGGTGTGATCCAGTGATCCCATTCGGAACGATGTGCCGATGCCGCTCAATGCCGAATAATCTGAGTTCCAATTCAAACTTGATGTCGCACACCTCACTTCCTTCCCCCACCGTCTTCAATGAATACCGCGTTTTTCCTCGTCATTTCCTTGGAATGTGTTGAAAATGCGGTTAAATGTTACTCTCAGCAGATCTGCCCTTTCATCGTGTATGCCTGGACGAAAGAGGTACTGATCACATTGATGACTTGGCACCGGAAATGTCCCTCCAGTTCCGAAAGACTGGATGTCGTCAATCCCGTATATTATCTTCGTCTTCCAAAATTGCGCTGAATGTTGACCGGTGACCCTCTACGTCTAGTTCTGGCACCGATAGATTCTGATGCTAGTTCTAGCGCTATGTCTGGTAGGTAAATTTCTGTTGGCCTTTTTTCCTAGCTAATGTCTTACAGAATCTATGTCCTAGTGACGTGATTAATTTGAGCCTGACGGACTATCGAATATATTCATGACCGCAACGTTCAAGGAAACTCGGTCATCGTCTATGTTCCGCCCGGATTTTATAACCCTAACCTTAGATCCGAAGTGTAAGTATACTTTCATCAGTCCTGATTAAATTCTCTCATTCATTTATAATGTTGCTAGAAGCCGTTGCATATTACCAAGCCCAGCCGACACCTCCGCCACTCTCGCAATCCCTGTCGGGGATGACGAACCCTGAAGGAATTTGAGTCATCTGGCTGAGTCAGCAGATGACGAATTATTGCGAATCCCCACAGCGCTGACAATAAAAGGAAAGCGATGGATCTCTTACTTGCAAGACACTACGAGACCAACCCCCACTACCACTGCTATCATGACGGTTGGAATGGATTCCCATCATGCCAACGGCGTCGGCCACGCTACCCACACGAACGGCTACGGTAATGGTCACCAGGAGTCGAACGGCCATGCAGTCTCGAAATCGCCGTTAAAATCTGACGGATTCAGCACCCTCGCTATTCACGTCGGCTCTGAACCAGATCCCACTACTGGCGCCGTTATCCCTCCTATATCCCTATCTACGACATTCGCACAGTCGTCCGTCGGAGTCCACAAGGGGTACGAGTACAGCCGGTCTGGAAATCCTAATCGCGATGCATTAGAAAAGCTCCTGGCGAACTTAGAGGCTGGGGGAAGGCTCGGCGCTCACTTTTGGCAGCGGAAGTGCTGCGACTGGTGCAGTACTCGCAATGATAGGCAAAGGCGGTCACGTTCTCAGCGTGAACGATGTCTATGGCGGAACTTGGAGATACCTGAAGCGTGTCGCAGGGGAGCTGCAAGGCGTTGAGACGACCTTTGTCGATTTGGAAGAGGCCGCTGAAGAAGAGATTTACAACTCGATAAGAGATGACACTAAGGTATGTTCAGCCCTCTATTGCTCCACCGAAATGTATTAACCTTTGACTGCAGTTGATTTGGATTGAGACGCCTACAAATCCCACATTGCGCATGGTAGACATACCAACAATAGTATCCATCGCACGACGACATCCTTCAAAACCGCTCATCCTCGTTGACAATACATTCCTTTCCCCCTTCTACTCATCTCCCCTCACCCTTGGAGCCGATCTCGTCCTTCATTCCTTGACCAAGTATATCAACGGCCACTCAGACGTTGTCATGGGCGCCGTCATCGTACCTCCTCATCATACCCAACTCATTGAACGGCTACGATTCCTCCAAAACGCCATGGGTGCTGTCCCGAGTGCGTACGACAGTTGGTTGGCCCAGAGGGGCGCCAAGACATTAGGCGTGAGGATGCGCGCACACGGCGAGAACGCCCTGGCATTGGCAAAGGTGCTTCAGCAGCGGCCGGAGGTTGAGGAGGTGATATACCCTGGCTTGGCTACCCACAAGCGAAATGCAGTCGCCTGGAGAGGTGTCAGTGCTCATGCGAAGAAGTGGATCAGTCGGACGACAGATACCTCGGCAGATACGTTCGATTTTCCATACGGAGGGATGATTTCGGTTCGGATTCGTGGCGGTTACCTCGCTGCGGGCCGGTTCTTGGAGCAGTTGAGGCTGTTCACGTTGGCTGAGAGTTTGGGCGGTGTTGAGAGTTTGGCAGAGCATCCGGCTGGGATGACGCATTCTGGACTACCGGAGGAGCAGCGCCAGAAGCTCGGGATATCGGGCGGCCTGGTTCGGCTGAGTGTTGGTATTGAGGATGGGGATGATCTCATCACGGATGTCGTTAAGGCATTAGAGAAGAGTCAGTAATCGCATTGTTATTTTGTATCATAGATGTAGAACATTATAGGACTATACGACCTTGTACAGTTCAATGTTTACCTGTTACCTAAGAGTAACAACTGACTGGCATAATGGGCAAGTGCGGAAGCTTCGGGACTGTGAGTTCGAACCTCACAGTTCACGTATACAGCCATGCGGGGGTATACTTTTTGGAAACTATATAATCTAACCTTGGACGCTTAATTTAAATAACCTATGGATATTTACCAACGAGGAAGTAAATGAGCAATTAAGTGGGGAACGCCTCTAACCAAGCAACTTGAAGACGAAGTACAATTCTTTGGCCTTGACGATTCGAAAATTGAACATTAAACGTTAAACGGGCGTCGGAAACGGGAAACCTCAGTGAGTACCAAGTAGTTCAACTACTAGCAAGAAAAGAATCTTCAATCAAGATACAAGGTCATGGTGCAGATTCTAGTTTAGTTTCCCAAAAGTATGGAGTTGAGCTGTTATAGCAGCAACTTGTTTCGATCAAGTGACCTCGGGGTGACCTCTATGGGCCCCGCGCGCTACCACTGCGCCATGCTGCTTGTTGATGGAAGCGCTTGAGTGCTTAGACACAAATGTCTTGCAAATGACAATAAAAGCAAAACCGGAATATTATGAATGAATCAAAACTCGCTTGGTTTACTGTAGGTATGAGGTAAACCGAAAAATGTATCAAAGGGTTTATCATTTGGTAAGGATGAGCGGCATACTGCGTGTTCTCAAAATTATGTAGAAGATCTGTTGCGCTGTTCATATTCTCAATCGGAGGTGCCAACGACATCACCGTGAAAGGCTTAACCGTGTGGAGCAGTTGTTTTTCAAACGATGACTACTAGTACGAGCTGCCGTTGATCCTGATTTTTTTTCTCTTTCGCCCACTGGCATATGCGCCTCGCCCTCTAATATTGTTAAGCAAGGTCTTTTGGGTGGGCTATACTCGTTCGTGAGGAGTGAGTAATAGGGCTATGCACGAAACCTCTAGGGGGGGGGGGGGTTATATACTGTTTTGAATTATCTTTATCTTCACATTTTTGGTGTATTTTCCCCTCCCTTGAGCTATAATTCAGTGCAGAGTATTGCATAACAAAACTTTATTTCGTAACTATAAATTTATGTTGGTTCAATATGAGAGTAATGTTGCTGCTCCTGCATCATTACATGACTGGCAAGTTACCTCGATGAAAGCCCCTCCACCGGGGGGAGGTAAAATACCATAACTAACTGGTAACTTACCGGTCCGAAACCCTAGTGTATTAAAACCTAGAGTTTCGTGCATAACTCTAGTGAGTAACGCAGAGCGCTCTGCGTCCAACGTCATGGTCTGTGGATGAAGTTTGAGCGGCGCGACATGCCGGCCAAAAACCAGTTCCCAACAATCATTGATTCCAGGCACTACCAGGGTTCGAACCTGGGTCGTTGGAATGTTAAGTAATCAAAATCCAATGTGCTGCCACTACACCATAGCGCCATACCGGGGTTGCCCCTGCAGTGGCTTTGGTATTCCCTAGCTATTGTCCAACGTGACTTGTCCCGGCTTTGCAATCGACCACTATTTCGATTTTACCACATGATGTTCTCTTGGACCTCGGTGCTTGCTTAATACAATCGTGGTGAGCACTTCACATCGTCCCTGCTCAGTTCCTGCTGGTTAGAAACTGCGCTTACCTCTACTTTGAGGGACCTCTGTTGTTTGCTTGTTATGCTTACCGACTCCGAGCCGCTGCGGTGTATGCTACACAGTTTCCAACGGAAGGATTTTATTCTCGTATTATTCCATAGTTGAGTTGCAATACTCAACGCTGCCTGCTTATTTTCAACCGGTTCGGTGCCCGGACTTCACCGGTCACTGTTGTCAACATTCGACATAAGGCTTGTGGATCACTCGGCGGCCGCTTTTCGATTCGGTATTCCTCATCTTCCTATATTCCCCAGTCTCTCAAGTGATCTGGTCATGTAGCCCCCGTGGAAAGGTTCCCAGCTGTGGTCTTCACTCACAAGCAAGATCCGGTACGTTTCATTAACATCCGCGCGCGCTAGGGCAACTCGTCGAAACTGCCGACCGAACCGATATCGCCGGACTTTCGATCTTTGATTTTATGGACTTCTCTGGTAATCAGCTTCTCTGTGGCTGCTATGACTTCTTCAGCAGACCTATCACCTGCTGAAACTCAGCTGAGTGAAGCCCATAAGCTCAGCGGCTCTTTTATCAGCTCGATTGGAGGCACTGACTCAGAGATGCACACGGTCTCCATCTCCATCCTGATGATAGAAGACCAGCTAGGCAGTAGGTGAAACTGCACTTATATCAAATGGCTCCTACGAGTCCAAAGAGCTGCTGTGAAATGTGGCCTCCGGATGACTTACCCCTTCGTCGTCGTCTTTTTAAGATGTCAATTGACCAAGCGGCTTGATACTGTTGTCACCCTCCTCATTCCGCGTAGTCGCAATCCTGCTTTACTATGCCAGTGCATGGATCTTTAGTATCGAAGAACAGTTGGGTCTATGGACGTTCATGGCGCGCAAACGAAACATGCTTCGCTAAATTGAACAACATTGTCACGGCGTACAGATGTAAACATGCTCGTAAGTCCTTCCTTAGTGTTGCGGTTTTCATTGGAAACTGATGGGATATCCGCAGACGTTAGTAATGGTGATAATGCTGTAAGCTTTCACGAGAGCTAAGTCGTATCGGGTGCTAAACCAGAGCCTACTATATAGCCTCCCAACGAAGACTTCTGGGAACTATGTTCCTCTTGGCATGTATGACGAAATATGCCTCGTTTGCTTATTTCGTTGTTATCCTGAATGCAAGACCGTAAATCATCAGGACGATTATTAACGCGGACATTCATGAAGTAGTGGACTACGCACTCTGCACCACATTTATATCTTGTCTGTATTAATCTGCAAAGGGGCGGAACAGAGCAGAGAACATGATCGCCGGCGATCAAATATTCGTTAATATTCTAAGCATATTTATCTCTAGAAACGGAGGCTCAGATTTCAAAACCATTTCAATTACTAAAAAACCGTGTTCATATATGAATCAATAACTAAGCCTCACTTCTTACATCGTGGAATGAAGATCGTCAGGGTACTCTGTGGCGTCGAATTGGGTCTGCACCATTTCTGGGGAATTGATGATTAGTCTTAATGCGAGACGAAGCATCTTCCTCTGCTTGGTCGTATTTACCACCCTGCAGATCACGACGCGTAGATGACGAAGAACGTTTCCGCATAATTAATAAATTTTCTGTAATTACGTAGCTAGTAACATCCAAATCTGTCAATACATTATATACATCTATATAAGCAAAGTAACAGAGATCAGGGTATCCAAAAATCTATAACATATCACGAGAGGCAATGGTAATATTTCCTGCTGGTTCCAAGCTATTAACCTCCTCCTTCCCCATATTCCTATCTTTCGTCACGAGCTCATGGGGAAGCTTTACCGCCCGGTCAATAGCCACCGGCAGACCACGATGTCGTCCGCGTACCCTAGCAGCACAAGTTATTAGCGACTTCCATTCAAAACACGTATGGAGAGATGCACATCACCACGATAATGACCAGCTTCGACAGCGGTCTCATTGCACCAACGAATGACATATTATCCTGTGTCCAACATCAACATCGCATCACAATCGAGACTGATGACAAAATTATACTGAAGGAAGCCCGAGACTCAGCCCGATCCCACTGAATGCAGAGACCAGCTCGAAAATTACTCGGAACAAATCAAACCACTTCTTGTTCTCATCCATAATGTTGCCTCGCTCGATAATGGTGACAAGAAGGACACCCCAGAACATCCACCAAACATCTTCCGTGCCAATGAGATATCCCTCTGCAGCGTCAGACCTAGGAGTAGACTCACCATCGGACATTTGTCTGCGCAAGTGCCACCCTAAGTATCTCGTTACACGTTGGCGAGGCTCCCTGCTTTTGGGATACCCAAGTTCCTTGTCTTTGTGTTCAAATTCTTCCTCGTCAAGAGGGGGAGCTTCGAATACACCAAGTGATCCTTCTTCGTATCTAATGTCGTAAGATTAGAAGCACGCTCCTTGAACTGTACTAGCACCTACACATTAGTCGTACGAATACTCATTGCGACCTAGAGAGAGAGATAAACTCAGGATTTGCACCATCGATATCGAACGGGAGTCTTACAGGATACACCTAAAAGACCATTAGATAGGGAGAACAGGTAGAAATAACTTATAAGGTAGAAAATAATACCGCAATGTACATCATTACCATATACAAGAATCTACAGGATGTCCAAATCATATGAGCGAGCAATTGCAGCCGAAACGTACTGGATGGCAGGGGCAACCGAAGCTAAAGGGACCATCGAAAATCCGGATGCGCGAGCAGCCAGTCCCTGGAACAAGCCCGATACGATCTTAACCCCAGTCGGCATAGCATCATAAAACTCTAATCCGGTATCTGAACGGCCATCAGAACGATTGAAGGAAAATATGAGACAGGCCAGTCATACTCAACACCTCAAACGCAACCCATTCCACGAAACTATAATGAGAGGAGCGTCAGAAAACGGATCTTGGGCCTCACGAAGAGACGCGAGTAACCTCAACAAGAGTAGTACGATCATCAAGAACCAAGTTTGATGACTGGGAAACCTAATTGGAGATATTAGGAGGTCCGTTCCTGTCCAAGCACCAAAGAGCGCGCTCATACAGGTAGAGATAGCACCTGTCATCGAAGTAAGCTATGCATGACCATACCGCCAAAGACCGGTTTACCGTCGAGGGTGACGAAGAAGAAAGTCCAATGCTTTATCAAGATCTGACCCTGGTTTGGTAAATTTAGAACATATCCATCTAGAAGACCGTTCGTTTAGTCTCGGAAAATAAAGAAATGAATGAATACTTGCATTATGAGTCGCATACTTAGAGAAAATATGTAAGGAATCGCCAAGAAGTCATTATTTTAACTTCAGGAACTCACATTATAGGCTGTAGAAAATACCAGGAGTCAGTGCAATTAGTTAACGACGAAGGTATGTGAACGCACTAGGGCATGATTTCCTGCTAAGATAAGAAACATTAAGGCAACTGTATATTCTCATTTCTCGTAAGAGTAAGCAATCGGATAGAGGTAGAAAGCTCACAGACGAAGAGATATGCGGTCTGGAAAGGCAGCATCCCCCTGATAATGCGCAGTTAGCACCTGAGGTAAGCATATATGCGGTTCGACTCACAGATCAACTAAAGATAGGCCGCCCCCTGTGTAGGCGGCCATAACTTGGAAGAGGGAGAACCTAGGAGGATTCTCGTGAACACCGAGTGTAATGTATGCATACTTCCATACCATGGCTTCTTGACGAGACGAGGCTGGGCCTCAAATACATTATCATATCTCGAAGTAATCGATAACCAAGGGGAAAATATGAGATATGTGATAATCTGGGTTACCACGAAGTACTAGATGGGGGTCAAAAAAGCTCCTCTGATGTATGTCGATGCACGTACCATGGGCACAAGATAACTGAGAACCTTCAACGCACAATACTCAGCACCTCCGATCATCTCCAGCTGCCCGTTTGTCAATGTCTCGGTATAAGAGTTTGAATTCCGTCCAACGTCTAGGTCAAAATTAAGCCACTTGGGCCTGCTAGCTCCCAAAGTAGGCCTGTATGGTATAATCATCTTGCGTTGGAACTTCCTATATACACCTGGAGCCGAGTTCTTCAACAGTTTCTTGAAGTGCTGAATGGGTCCAGCCCAGCCCCTCCATAGTCCACGCATATTTCCAGATGTATCCCGGCCGGTTAGCACTGTCATGCATCTTGCCGAGAGCGGAATACCAGTGCGGACAACGCTCGTCCCTATCTCGGGCATAGGCGTGAGTTCAAAGTTTACGACGCGGTGGGCTGGGGCATGCTTCTGGACAGGCGAAAGGTGCAGGGTGGCTGCGCAGGACGATGAGGCGAATGTATGAACATCGAAAAGGACGTTATCACCGTCGCCGTCCCCGCGTCTTTGTTCGTTCACAAGAGTCTGCGCCGGCTCCTCGGAGTTGGCTGCTGGGGACATGGTCTCCACCGGCATGGACTGATGGAAATCGAGCTGCGGAGCGCATTTGTCGTTTACCGGAACAACATCGCGAGGCCTAAAGGCGACGACCGGAGCAGAAATGGACGCAAGTAAAGCCTTGCGCGTAGGGAAAATATTCAATCCGTCGGGGAGATTTTCACAGTGCGTTCGAAAATAGTGTCTGCAATGGTGTCAGGTAAATAGCATAGCAGCGAAGCTCGCTCACTTTCGCACCAGCACCATGATCCATGATCCCGTCGTGATATCGCCCTGTATCCATCAGAATGTTATTATTACTCATCGACGTACACACTCACCATCAACATCAGCAAGTAAAGCATAACCTGCTGGGACAGGGATAGCGTCGACAAGTTCACCGTCGATAGCCCAGTCAATGACATTGCGG